TTTTGTCCCCAATGAAATACTATCAATACACTCTATGTGTTTAAAGCATGAGAATTAAAATCCAGTGAATTATTTGCTGTTGTGCTTTTCATCTCTTTCTTGATTTGAACTCCCTAGTCTCTTTTCCCATTAACCTCCCACATAAAGGGATCCTATTGGGTTTATAAAAATCTCTTTTTCTGAAGTCCAAGGTAAATGCTTGCTTATGCTCAGGTGGGTTATTTTTGCCAAGAAATAAGCAAATCAATAATCGAATAAATCAATCCAGAGTTCTCCCTCAAGGCACAGATGAGAAAGCTCAAAACATTCCATTTTGGAGGCATGTTGTGAAGAGATCTGTAATGCTGGGAAAGATAAGAAAGGAAAGCAAATCAGAGGAAGGAGAACATCAAGGCGGATGGATTTCAGCCCATCCATGATGGGTGCGCCATTGGAAGAAGAGCTGAAGAGTCAATGCCCATCGCATGGCCTGTATGCCATCCATCACCCTCCGTTTCAGGCCGTCTTCCTTCTTCACAGGGAAGAATCAAGCCAAGGGCAGCTTGATTTGTGTTTTCATTTGCTCACTGAGGGAGAAACGTATTGGCAAGATAAGTCTAGGACTTTCTGCAGGAACCAGGCTTGGCAAGGTTTGTTGCTCAACAGATGTACTTAAAATCTCCGTCTTTCTGGCTCTTGGCTTTTCTGAATATCACTTAGACCAGAAAGTTCAGCTCCTCTTCTAAACGTTCCAGCAATTATTTCCCAGTCATGATCACTGAGATTACTGGATGTTGATCGGTACATAATCCTTTATGAATTATGAAAAGCAACATCCACCAGAAAATATGGTACTATCATTTAAACTCAACCAGGGTCAACAGGGATCAGTGAAACCTGGATGGGATTGTACCAACCTGGCTGTCCACTTCGGCTAATGGAATCGCATGAAAGTGCTGAGAAGGCGCTGTGTGAATATAGAAGTGAAGAAACCGGGAGACTGTGAATTCTAGCTCCATCCTAGGCACAAAGGCAGCCAGGCGACTTTGGGCCAGTCCCTCTCTCTCAGCCTGCGAAGGAGGCAAATCCCTTCTGAAAATCTTGCTATGAAAGCTGCAGTGGCCAGGAGTCAATACTGATTTGAAGGCACATGCATGCACACACCCACACACAGAGTAAGAAACGCTCAGCCTCCTTTAATAGCCAGAGTAAATATTCGGCTGTGAATCGTGGTGTGTCCAGCTACCACCAACCAATAAGCAGCTTCCATCCTGCTAAGGTCCCTTCCAACTCTGTTATTCGGTTCTATGAGTATACATTTTAACAAGGAAATGAAAATTAGCTGCATGTTAATGTGTGTTTGTGCGTGTGTGTGTGTGTGTGTGTGAGAGAGAGAGAGAGAGAGAGAGGAAGGAAGGAGTGAGACAGGATTAATTTCTTCCCTCTTTGTAACTATGGTGCCTTACAGACATCAGGGACTGAGAAGGCAAAGAGTACTTGACGGGGTTTCTCTCTACAACGATCGATTGATCGATCGCCAGGAATTGCTTTCCTCATCAGTTCTGTGCTCTGTTATGTAGTTGCCAATTGGACCTGGACAACCACCCTCTATTCTCCTCCCTTCCCAAAATTCCTCCCAATGTGAATTTTGCATCAAAGCAAAGCTGGCTGGGGGTGTCACAAGAGAGCCCAGCATTATTTCAGAGTGGCCAGGGTCTTTTCCTCCCCGCCCCCTGCCAAGAGATGAGTTCAGGCCCAGGGGACCCTAATAGGAGACGGTTTATGATGATGCTTTGATAATTGGTGCTCAGTGGCTTCCTTCCTTTTATCAAGTCTGCTAAGACTCTGAAGATTATTCCTTATTTCGGCGACTGAATGAAAGCCACCCTGGAATTCTCTGACAACAATGAAAGATATGAAAGAGGATTCTTGGTTGCGCGATTGTGGTTCCCCTAAAGGAAGTGGGGAGAGCTGAATACCGTCAAAGAGGTAAGACAACAGGCCGAGCTTCAATGGCACCACTGAGGCTGCCATGCTGGCTTTTTCTGTTGACCTCAGGACAGCCCTGAGGCGTGTCACACCAAATATTTTATCTGTTTTCATTCAAAATAATCATTTTAATCTACGTAATGAGTTTGGACCGGTGTGTTCTTCATTTGTTGACCACGGGATCAGCCAGATACACATCTGTACACATTTGCCAATGCAGACACAACTTCCTGGTCAACATTTGGAGGCTCTTTGAAAAAAGTTGGCCAAATCGTAAAATATTTTCCTAAGAATTTCTACCTCAAATTAAAGGAAATTGCTAAAAAAAAAAGACCATCCCAAATTCTATGGAGTAAAAAGACTTGATTTATTTTGCATGCAATCAATCTTTTTCTTTTTTTTTTTACTATTATTGCTTTTTCATATCCCAACTTCAGTCCTTCGTGAATGGCAGAGTTAACACTGGCACAATTTCCTCGCTAAAATTGGAACGTAAGGGAACAGTTGCAACCCCGGCTCTCCTTAAGCAATCTATAATTCTGAAGGATGTGAAAGACTTTTCGAAGCTGATGAATGTCATGGGGTTCATTTAATGGCATATAATTTATCTTGTCAGGCACACTGATACTTTCCCAGCTTCATTGCTAGAAATAGTTTCAGTACGTATAAAACCCTTAGGTATAATTTGAACAGCTTGTGCTATGTACAGATATGCCAGTTAGCACAACTGCACAAAACGGATGCAAGGATGGAGATATTTTGCAACAATAGCTGTCTTTTTATTTTTACCATTAATATAGAGGTGCTAATCGTCAAAACACCGAATATTTGAAGTGACAAATAGAACTTCTAATATATTCATTCGGAAAGATCCAGACCTGATCCAGAGATGGGAATGTGAATTGCATTAACTTCTGAGAACTGCTAAAAGATGTATTTCTGAGGGGTCAGTGGGGATTAGGAGAAACTTGCACCATTTTTGTGCTGTACTAAAAATAATTTGCCAACTTTTTCACCAATTATTTAACCCAACCTTAAGGGGAAAAATCATTCCAGACCAAACAGTATGGATAAATTAAAGATATAGGAGTAAATCTTCATGGATAATGTAATGCTAACATATGGAAACATTCTTCCTGCTTGGGAAAAAAATACTTTCTCTTCTCTAATATTTATTTCTATAAATTGTTGATTAATTATCAGCATTCATATATTCATTTATTGGATTTGCACACTCTCACACCTTAATTATCTCTGTTGAATTGTTTTAAATAGTTATTTTAGGCTTGGTTTTATTATTGGTTATGCAGTCACATATATGAGACAGGTGGCTATATAAATTTGATAAAGGAGAAGGAAGGGAAGGAAGGAAGGGGAAGGGGAAGGGAAGCAAGCCATTCCTTTGGGATCTTTTTTCTCTAAATTTTCTCACATAACTCAACATCCCTAAGGGGGTAGTTAGATGAGAAGGAGTGAGTGGCCATTGAGTGGCTGAGAGTGGGCTTAACCATAGCACCGTATACACCTCTACAGTAAACATAATGGTAGTTATATACATTGTGTATTTTGCATGCTCATAAAGTATAAAAAATAAATGATCTTAGCTTGTCATTTATCCATCAACAGACACTACACCTGTGATTGATGTGCATGTTAAGGAACTAAGTTAATTAATGTGTTTCCCAGATCCCAAATGAAGTACAAAGAATAAAATTCTATTTATGCAGCCATCAGCCACATTCTCAGGGTGTGTGTATGGGTGTGTGTGAGTTTGTCTGTGTGAGGGACAATTGATAATTAACAAATAAGTATTGAAGTAAAGCATTCAAGCATGTAACAAGAACTTTTGCTGAATTCCTATACAATAAAAGCCAACACCTAGAAATAAAGAGCCCTAAGGAAAAAAGGGTTTTAAAAAATAATAGTTTTTAATATATATATATAGATAGATAGATAGATAGGGAAAAATAATCTTCACAGCTTTTAATATGTTAATTTTTCTGCCAGATGGTAATCTGATGTTTAAGTGATTAGGCACAGCCTTATTCGCTTGAATAATGATATTCTCTTTTTTTAAACATTAATTTGCAATCTTGAATGTCAAATCCATAAGATGGCTGCTAATATCTTAGCAAGTAACTGCTCCATAATCATTAGCTGAAAAACAGCTCCATAAATTAAATGGCAAGCCTTCCAATGAAAGATTAAACTAATACAGAATCTGAATTGTTCTTGAAGCCGTCACTGCAAAGGTTACATGGGAGAAAGGCGAAACCTTCCTTTTTTTGGTCATAACTGTCTTCCTGAGCTGTGATTAATCCTTACAGGAGACGCTCATGACTTAGTGGCAAGAATTCTTTGCAAAGTTTCCATCTTGTCCTCTTATTTAACTCCCCCGACAATAAGGACAGTTAAATAAACTAGAGCTTGTTTGTAGCTTGTTGAAAGAATAAGAAGCTGGAGTTCTTATTTTGAATTCCAAGTTAGATGAATGGATCCAGACATTTCTGTTGAGAGGACCAAGATGGGACGAAGCAGGATAGCAACAAGCATGAGAGGCTGGGGATACTTGATTGTGGAGCATGCTCAAATAGCTACGCGTGAATCGGAAATGGGGAAATGGACAGGCGGTTTGGCAAACCAGTTGGAAGGGTGAAACTTTTTAATGAGTTCTACATACAGACACTAAACCTGATATAAGAAAGTTGTCTCCTGGGTGCAGTTCAACCATGGACAAACTTTCACTGCCAAGGTTATAGATATTCTTAAATTGCTTGCATGGGGCTTAAAAGCCTTGAACTTGGGTTAAAATACAGAATTATATGGATGAAATAGGTATTATGAGCTTCCATGCTTGAAGACTCAACCCGCGTTTTTTCCAGTCCTGATTCAGCATTTCCACCAGGATTGCACTCTGATAGAACCAATAACAACGAAACAGATTGTACCTTTGCCAGTCATTAATCAAAACCATGTCTAAAATAACTGACTTGGGAAAAAAAAGGAAGACTAAATTTAGGTGTCCTCCTTACCTCAGGATGGCCCCCAAGCTCAATGTACGTGCACATAGGATGGAAAGCTCCAGTTCCACAGACGTACAAATGGGTCTGGTTGTAAGTTTTCAGCACCTTGATGAAGTTAGCACACTCTTTCTGCAGAAAAACAACAACAAAGCAACATAAAATGTTGATTGCTTTCTTTTACTTACATTAGTCACCCAGAGTAATTTTGAATTAGGTGCCCTTGTATATCAAAAAAGTGGTTCATATTAATTTGTAATATTGTAATTTAATATTTACTACTTAATACCATTTGGAGGCACTGTCATATCCCCTTTCCACAAAACTCAAGCTGAATTTAAAAAAATCATCAACTGAAATAAAACAATATCATAAGGAACATTTATAGCTATGGTAACACAAGATATTTTGAAAGGGAATTTCCTATTGACCAATTAGGAGGTCTTGCAACTGCTTAGAAATGTCACAAGAACAGGGGATTTTTAGACCTCATCAAGTCCTTGGCCCTTTTAGACTTTTAAGAAAAACTGACAGCCCAACAACAGCCAGCATAAAGTTCCTCAGGCACACAAACATGGAAGACTTGAAGGCCTATAGAAGACATAAAGTTTGAGCCAACTCTTCCTCGGTCAAGTTGCTAGTGAAGCCACAGATTCCTGTTCCTTACTGGAGGAATGTCCACAGGCGAATGAGAGTTTACAGAACAAGCATTTTATACAGAGCATTTTATACATTTTATACTTCCTTTGGCATGTAAGGTAAATTGAGGTTTTGATACATTCATATATTCAGCTGTGAGTCCCAAAGAAAGTAAAATGAAGCCTGCACATCTGCAAATCAGGCTGTGGAGATTTCTTTTTGCATCTTCACCCCAAACCCCAAAACTATATAAAGGCGGAAATAGATCGTTCTCAAGTAAAGAAGCCGCTTTCCTCAAATATTGGACCCTGTAGACTTTCTCTGAAGTGACCCAGATGGCAATCAGAAAAAAGGGAGCTCAATCAATGTGTGGAACAACATTGTTTTTGCTGCTTCTTCCAGATATTTTAATAACCTTCACAGTTCTGTTCTAACTCTGATTTCACGTGGCCCTTTATCGAGGCAGGAAGAATAGAATTTGCATTCCCTGTATGATATTCTGATTGCATGTCATTGATTTGTTATTTTTCATCGCTTTCTGAAGGCCTTTAGAAAAAATAGTTACTCACGCTGTGATCTGTGTAGGGGAACATGTTATTAGATCGGTTAAAGTTATAATTAAGAATAGTACCCAAAGATGTGGACTTCTTTTAAAAATAAGCCATAACCAAGGCCCTACCTGACCTTAGCTGACCTTGTAAAACAAAGTTTTGGAAGTCGGGAAAAACTCACATCCCAGAAAACAAGGCCCTGGCAAACTCCCTTTCCCATTAGTGCATTGCCAGGATCTGCCTTCAAGACCCTAGGCGTACAACTTAACCCAAAAGGGACAACACAAGTATGCACAAGGTTTGCTTTTCAAAAGGTCCTCACTGGTGTTTGGTTTGTTATCTGCATTCTGCCCCCTTTCCTGAAGGCTGAAATCCATGGCAATTCCACCCGCTTCCAGGGAGAAGCTGACTAGTTGGCTGCTTGCTTGCCTTCCCAATTCTTTGGTAGTGATTCATGGGCTCTTTCCATTTCCATAGCTACCATGAGGTCAACCAGATTACAAACAACGTTAGACAGCATGTGAATGGGGCCCCTGGCTAGCTACGTCCATCAATGTTCTTCTGTTACTGTCAACTCTTTGGACTCGGTTAATGCCAACACTTGACAGCAAAATATGCATCCCCACCCAAAATATGTCTCCCCTCTACGTTGCATCCTGTTTTGGCTATGGATTATAGGAATGAAAGAACTGATAAAGCTCTGAGAGGAACTGGTAAGAGGATCTAACTTTCTACAAATAAATGCATTTATTTACCATTGAAAGCTTCCGTTCAATCTCTCATGGATGAAATAGCTTTCCTGCGATTCTCAGATGCTGTTTTTGCACCCCGCCCCCATAAACTTTCAGCTCTACTGGAGCCAAATAATGACCAAAGTTAATAGATGCAGTTCTTTTAGTCGTGCTTTTGTAGAGCATTCAGAGGTTAACTGGTGAAAAAAGGTTATGGCAACTGTTTCCCCTCCACCATGGTAATAATTTGTTCAAAGGGACACTTCCCCAACTTCCTAGCCAAGTCCATACTAAATATCAGTAGTATAGATCTATAAAAGTCAATTCCTTCCAAGGACCCCATGCAATTCATCAGGAGGCCCTTTGTATGGTCTGTGGAAACCGAACTCAATGTGGGCGGGAGTTCAGTTCCGATCAAGGTGAACCTTTGCAGAGCCTCTATGTTGTCGCTTATGCACATCCCCAATAATACCTGAGTACAGATATTCTTATAAATGACAATGCACAAACGTCTCACCAACATGATTAACTATTTCACTTTGACCAACCATGTGATTTAGTGTTTTATAGTTATTAAGGGTTTTGTTTTTAATTTATAAGGATGTACATGGCTTCAACTGACTTGGGATCCAAGAACAGTTCCAGCCTTGTACAATGTGGTTGCCTTCTAGTTGGGCAGACCAGCTTCCCAGAACTCCCTGGCTAGCATGGTCAATTTGGGATTCTAGATGTGAAATCCGTTCTACGTATCTAGAGGACAATCTGGTTGGAAAATGCAAATTTGCATGGCCAGCACCCACCTTCTGCATATATGATTGAGCAGAGTGTGTGCAGAGAACCCCTCTTCCTTTAAGGTGCAGGAGGGAGAGATAGAAGTTGCGTTATTGTCAAGCCTCCATTTTTGAGGTTTTATGTGATCGTGACTTCTCTCCAGGTGGGGGAGGGGAACAAATTCTGTCTGTCTGTTATATTTTCCACCAGGATTAGTACATGTCTGCTTTCCTTCTTATTAGGAATCATCAGATGCACATAGCTAGATCCTATTCTGTGGCATTCAAATCTTCCACCACGGATTGAATTTGTGAATGATTGCACTGAAGTTACACAACGTTAGTTTTAACATTTATCTAAAAAGGATAATATAAGGATCCTAAGTATTACAATATAAATGGTTGTGGAGTTAATCAATGAAAGATGTTTCTCTACTTCCTGTTCTGTGAAAAGAGCAGGATTCACCTACAGAAATTATAGGATTTTTCTAATCAATTGGCAGGCGCCCAATTCAGTTTTATTCAAAGAAATAAATTGATTCAATAGTTCAGTTAGAGGATTTGATTGAAAGGAAGAGTCAGTTAAATCTACTTTAACCTGAGTTGCCAAATCATTTTTTTACAGCCATATTATCCATCTAGTGATTCAACAGTCATATTCATTGGGAGGCAGAGATCAAACTACATGGGTACAATAACCATTTAAATGCAGATGGATATTAAACCTAATTAAAATTGTGTTTGTTATGTGATTGCCAAGTGGTATAAGAAAGCCACTCAGTAAGCAGATATTTCATTAAGATATTTCAAAGACTCTGCCAATTTATTAGCATTCTTCCTTTCCCTCCATCAAATACTGCCACGATAATATTTAGGCATGTCTTAGCTGTGAAATTTGGCATTCAAAATTATTCTCAATACTTGGGACAAGGCATGTCAGCTTTAGTGCAAAGCATCCACTCAAGTTCTTGGCCCTGAGCCTGGAACAGCTCAGCCTGTCTCAAACTGGGTTTTTCCAACTGTTACTGCCTTACCTTCAAGGATATTTGTCCTTAATGGGAAAACCAGGGACAGCGGTACAGAGCAGTTGAAATAGGCAAAATGCTGGCCCAAATGCAGGCATCCAATGGGCAACACAAGCACAGAATTTGGAAGTGCAGGGATGCCTGACACGGTGCTGGTTTTGAGTGAGGGCCCTTCAAACTACCGCAGTTGTATAACTGAGGGATGCTACAACCCATCATAAATGTGAGCTCTCTTCCAAGCCCCCGAAATGCAACTTCATCATCACATGAGGTGACTGTGGCAATTGTAACTTCAAGGATAAGTTGTAAGTAACTTTTTGTGATTTGTAACTTCAAATGATTGTTAAACAGTTGGTCATAAAGTGATGGCTCAGTTCAAGAGTGTTGTTATATTTGAGGATAAGTTAATATGCCATCAAAAGGATGGATGGATTTGCCTCCTTCCAGCTGCAATTTAAAAGATGCTGGATGGTTCAAAAGTCATTAAATGATGTTAAAATGTCTACTGCAATCAATATTCAATAAGAAAGTAAAATAAACAAGAACACAGCTACCCAAAAATACAGTACCTTAAAACTGCCCAAGAACCCAGCATCTTAAAACCATAGACCGAACCCCAAATAATAGATTCAGTAAATATATGGCAACATTCACAGAGTATATTTAGAGCTGATTAGATATATTGGAGGAAATGTTTTCCAAAGAAGCAGAAAAACAGTGCCTGAGAGATGGGGAGAAGGCATTCATTCCAGGGCAAGTACAGGCAAAAGTCTCCAGAAAGGTGAAAAGTGGAGCTAGAGGGGCTTCTCATACAAGGCCATTCAAGCCCTCTGAGGAAGCAAATGGCACCCGGGGCCCACTGGGGGCTGTGGAAGAGGAAGCCACAGAAACCAGAGCTTCCTTCTTGCCTCACAGAAGCTCCTGGGAGTGAAGCTGATGTTTGGGGGGAGGGGGCGACAACTTGAGGAGGTATTTTTGGAGTCTGACACCTCTCATTTTAAGTCTCTCTCTCTCTCTCTCCCTCCCTCCCTCCCTCTCTCTGATTTAAGTGTTTCCTGAGCAAAATCACTCAGGTTTATCTTTCTGATTTCTTGACACAAAAGAGCTTATGGGAAGATTTTTCTTTCTAAGTATTGACTCTGCCCATTTTAAATTCTCCCAGATAAAGGGAGAAACAGAAAATATATATACAGGAGATAATCCACAAAGACCTACGTAAGAGAGACAATAGTTGATAACTTTGATGTCCAACATTTCCATTTACAGATCAATCAAATGAGCTTCACTGAACATCATGTTACAAAGTTAGAAATTGTCTGTAACCTCAACTGTGATGGACCCTCTCCAGAGAGAAAGAGAAATTCCTTTTGAAATCAAAGAAATTAAGCTATAAGGAAAAAAAAAAACTATAATTGC